TGTAGAACTTCTAATGGCACCATGAGGAGTTCATGTTCCTCTTTTACAAACAAATCATGGGAGTGTTCTTTGTTTAGCCATATGAAACAATCCAGCTCAACAAATATTTCTAAAGCTAATGTTGCAAACTTCATATGTTGGTCAAATGACTGGCTCATACAGGTTGCCTGCATTAGGCTGTCATCATTATGAAGCCTGCAGCAAACAAAACATTTCCTTCAAACTGGCTAAAAGTACCAAACACACAGTGGCTTCACTAAGTCTGAGCAGGCAATGCAGTTAATGTTGGTGTTAGCTAATAGCATTATCAAAACTGAAAGACAATTAAAAACTAAAGCTCAGGGTCACATTGACTGTGATTCATTCACAGTTTCAGCAGGCTTTCTGCATGCCTTTTAAGACAGTTTGATCTAATGGAGATGGGTAGTCTGCTGTCAGTACTTCTGTTTGTTGATTTATTAGCTTTATCAGTTTTATAGTTGCTGTATAGTATGGGATTTGTGCCCTTAACTGTGTTGGCCACTTATAAATTGCTACTTTTGTTGGTAAGAGTAGACAGCAAACAGTTCAATGTCTCTGCTACAGAATTTTTCCTTAAGAGTAACATGTCCAGGATTGCACCATCTGTTATTTATGTACACAGCAACTATATTTTGTTTCACACATACACCGCACACACAACAAAGTGTGTGTCTCCATTAGACCATGCATACCTCTGTCCCTAACTTTCATCAGACATACATCACACTCACAGTGGCCACCAGGCAACAAGCATTTAAACACCCATAGAAGTCCGGACTTTATCTGTGTACACAAAGCATTTTGAAATGAAGAAGAAAAACCAGGATAATCCAGACTTATCATATCTGAATAAATCTCCATACACACAACCCCACGGTCAAACTAATTCATTTTAATGCTCTTCAATTAGCTGAATAAACCAAACCATAAACAGTACAGACTTTGCTCTACAGCTTTAACTTAGATTGTTTCTTTAGACCAATCTAGACAAATGTATAGCGGACATTTAGCATATTCAATCTTTGTCCATTAACTACTGATTTTTAGCGCTCTATCGGCCGTGTATTTATTAAACACAACGAACATGGGACAGCACAAACAGGTAAACATCAAGACAAACATGGAACACGTAATCAGACATATAAAAGCAATGCCATAGTATCCTGCAAACATTTGAAACAAATTATTTACAACAGTTAGTCATAGTGTTAGTTTTACATTATAACAGCAGCGCTTTCCTCTGCCTGTGAAATAAAGCAAGTTAGCTGGTCTCCTATACGTATTCTGAGAGAATCGCGCCTCCTGCAATTGAATATATACATTATTAGACAAAGGAGATGGTCGGTCAGTCAGTCATTGTGGCCACCAGGTACAGTCAGAGCTTAGAGTCCAAAGTCGGGTCGGTCGTTTAAGTCTGTTCTCTGTTAACTACACCGTCACACAATGTGTGGTTATCTCTGCTACCTTGTATGGTCCCTTCCACCTAGGAGAAAACCAGTCGAGTTTGGTGTTTTCTGTAGACCTAGCTTCCCACTGCTGCATCAGGTGCAGCGGTGTCGTGTTCCTTGGTGTCACCTGTTGAGAGATGCTCATCACAGTGTTATTCAGTGTTCGTGCATATTCACACAAGGCCTCATGTTGTAACTAATGCTGGTGAGGGAATCTGTAAGGGCAACAGTAAAAGGACAGGGCATTGTGATTCCTGTCAGGACTTCATGAGGACTAAAATTAAATTTGGTGTCTGCGCAGACTTTTGCCAGTCTCTCTTTGCCCTGTTTTTCTGATGGAGCAGCTGCTTCTTGCAGCTTTTTAATGTTCTGTACGCACAAATCCCTATGTGGTTTTTCATTCATTGACTTCTGAATCATTTGTCTATGTACAGTATATACAGTGTAGCCAGTTACAGTTTTAGCAGTCAAATCAGCTGCATTGTTGCCTCTGTCTATTCTTCCATCTCCCTTTTGGTGTCCTCTGCATCTAATGGCAGCCTCATGTCTGACACATGTAGGATGGCTCATCTCTACATTGTCAAGTCTGGAGCTGTAACCTATTAACCTTACTTTCTGTGCTCCCACTTCCCCCCTTTTTGAAAAAGAGCAGCATTCACATAGCGGCTCCGGGGGCCTGATGTTGTCCAGGCGGTGGAGGAGGGTAGACATTATAATCATACTGAGGAACTCCTCCTGTTGTTCATGAATATTGTGAGGTTGGCCGGGCATTACAATGCTTTGCCCAGTGTCCTAGTCCACCATATTGATAACAGCAATCATGTCTGCGTGGGCCATATCTTTTATTGAAGCGGCCACGCTTTCTCTTGCTGTAAGCAGGTCTGTACTGGCAGGGGGGCGGGGGGTAGTTTTGTGAAGGGGGTGGGCCATAGAACGTGGGTGATGCTGCACACATGGCGGGACCTGTGGTTGCTGAAGTGTCACGGGGGGGTTTGCTGGGGCATCTGGTTAGCAGAGGCCTTGGCCTGGTTCGCTTTGTCTCTCATTTCCTACAATTGTGCCTTAGCCACTTGTGTCTGGAGATGAACCAGGTCTTTCTGTTCTTGCTCCTGTTGTTCTAATTTATTATCAATGTGATGAATAATATGAGCTTGACCACAGGGCGTAGAAAAATCAGACAGCCCCACAACTAATTTTAATGTATCTTGAACAGAAGAACGCAGGGAGGTTTCAACTGCTCCTCTAAACAACACTTCAATAGTGTTTGTTTTGGCAGGATCATCTCCTGTTCTATCCTGCCAGAGACCTTTGACTCGCAACAAATACGCTGAGCCTTTCTCACCCTCTTTGGGTGGAATGCAACATAGCTCTGTAGAGTTCATGCGAATGGGGTACTTTTGGCGGACTGCTGGCCACAACAGATGAACAAAATGGTGTAAGGGGAGGTCATCAGCATCCACATTAGTGCCACAAAGCTGTTCATTTTCTCTCAGCAATCCCCAGTGAGGTGCAGGATGTAAACACCTGTCTGATAGGGAAAATGGGGTGTAAGAGAAAGTAGTGCGCCCACTAGCGGAGGTAGTGGTTACTAAAGGCATTTGGGGCCAAGGCTTAGAGGGTGATTGTGATTCAAGACAGGCATGGACATTTCCATGATTAAGTCTCTGTGTAGTAGCGCTTGGAGACAAGTTTCTATTCTTTAAATCAGAAATGCCCATATCAGCAGCTGCAAAGGTTAAGTCAGTTACATCGGGACCACGTGTAGCACTAACTACAGTGTTTACACTATCTGACTGAGAAGGTGAGGCCTCAGAAAGAGTGCAGAAGGAGGACTGTGAGTGTGACTCAAGGTGTTTGTAGTCCTTTAGTAGCTGGTGTGCAAGGAGGGGGTTTGTACTACAAGCTGCTACTTCATTTAAATATTCATTCTGAGAGGCATTGTTACCAGTGAAGGGGGCAGTTTGCAAGAGGCTATTTTTTAACCACCAAGGAACCCATGTTTGGAGAAATCTCTCTGGTCTGGGTTGGTGTCTTTTGTGGCATTTGAGGCTGAGACTGGAGAGAAGTCAACACTGAACACGCCTCAGCGGGGGTGGGCATGTTTCTTTGTTCTCAAGTGGTTGTGTCTCTGGAGATTCAAAATTGGGCTTTTTATCTCATCGTGGTCACGTATGAGGCACAGGGCCCATCCCAACTGATCAGGTCCGGACTATGGCTCTGTCATACACCTCGCAGAGTATTTAAATAAAATGTATTTATCTAAATGGGGGAGCACACTGAATGACTTTGAAACCAAAACGGTTGCGAGGACTCGATGGTCTGTCTACTCCTAAATTACTTCAACATTTAAGCATAACCGAAACTCACTGATTAATCACTTTAGAGTCTAAACAACTATAACCTAACCCTGTAGAACCCACAGCAGTACAGACCTCCCTATTACAGTACTATAAATTTAAACTCTATCAAAACTGCTATTTAGCAACTTGTATACTTTTGGAACTGAAACAGGTGGTATTTCTGTTTTTGTTTTTTTGTTTTTCTTAAGGCAACGATCACACAACAGCACAAACACACACAGTTAGCTATTCACACAATATTAGTGAGTCATATATACAGTTCCAAAGTCAATACTGGCGATCCTGTTTCTAGTCCTCTTTTCCCTTTTTTCAGTTTTTTTTTTCAATGCACGCAGATACTTGAAGGAGAACCAATCAGGAGATATGTTTAGGTTTAAAATAAATCTACCAGCACTCAACACAGTACTCCAAAGACGCAGAGAGCAATTCATCAATTATATTAAAAAGGCGACTCACCTTTTTTGTTGGCGTTTTGATATTTTATATTGGTGTTGATTTTATCGGCACTTGTAAGTTGTGTTTATTTTTAATGTATATTGTTATTTACACTGTACAGCACTTCGGTCCACCTTGGTTGTTTTTAGTGCTTTATAAATAAAGTTGGAATGAATTGGAATGGAATTATTGTGAAATGTGCCATTTTGCATTATCTTTTACATTACTTTTATTTTTAAGTATATTTTGACACTGATACTTTTGTACTTTTACTAAAGTAGCTTAACATTTTCAGTACAGGACTTTTACTTGTAATAGAGTATTTTTACACTGTAGTACTGCTACTTTTACTTGGCTAATTAAACAAGCTGAGTACTACTTTCACCACTGCTAATTAGTGTCTTTGAATTTATTTTTCCTCCTCAAATGTAAGTTATGACTAATATTCTGTTCTGGTTCTGTACCAGAAACAAATTCCTTGTGTGTATAACATACTTGGCCAAATAAAGGTTCTTCTGAATGCGATATCTCAGGA